GATGTCCCCCTCCTCTGCCGGGACCTGGGAGAAGCTCTCCCGGAGGTGTGAGTTGAAAGTCCGTCTGACAGGGGGCTCACCAAGACGTTCCCAGCAAACCCTCACTACACGCTTGGGCCTGCCAGGTCTGACCGGCCTCCTGCCCTGCCAGCGGATCCAACTCACGACCAGGTGATGATCGGTTGACAGCTCCGCCCCTCTCTTCACCCGAGTGTCCGAGACACGCGGTCGAAGGTCAGATGATACGACTACAAAGTCGATCATCGATCTCCGGCCTAGGGTGTCCTGGTGCAGATGTTGGGTGTGTGGACTGGGTCGTCGAGGTCTCCGCCTTCGACTGCTGCCCAGTCCTCTCTGCACCTCGCCACCACGGACCCCTCTGCAGGTGGTGAGCCCACAGGAGGGACTGCCCACGTCATCCCTTCGGGCTGAGCCCGGCCGGGCCCCGTGGGCTAAGGCCCGGCCACCAGGCGCTCGCTTGCGAGCCCCCAGGCCTGGCTCCAGGGTGGGGCCCCGGCTGCGCCATGCCGGGCGACGTCACGGTTTTTGTTGTTGTGCTGTCCATGGTTGGCTTCGGATATAATAATAATAATCTAATAACATTGAATTACACCTGTTTTACCATAGGTGAGACTAGACTCAAAGCCTGCTTATACACTGTAAAAAATGATACTTTGGATTAACTTGCTGTTATGTGCAATTAACAAATTGCTGTAATTTGTTACAGGCAATTTTATTAATTTTTCTCAAGTTGTATTTATCATTTGGCTAAAACCATACATTTTGATTTATTGTATATAAAAAATATAACTTATTTCCAACAAAAAAGATTCAGATTCAGATTAGATTAATTTTTATTAGCCATGTGCAGTATAAAAACTACATTGGAATACATTTGCAAAAAAAAGGTACTCTGTGTGCACCGACAGAATAAAAAGCACGATACAATGTAATATAAAATACACATACACTGAATATAAAAGAATAAAAAACAGCTGACACTGTGGCACCGATCAACAAAACGATACAAGGGGTAAAAGCAGGAATTAAAGTGCTCTGTTTAGGCACCTAACAGCCTGTGGAAAGAAGCTGTTAGCATAGCGAGATGTCTTGCACCTCAGCGACCGATATCTTCTGCCAGAGGGAAGAAGCTGGAACATGGCTTTCCCAGGGTGGCCAGAAGAGTCATTGATGATTTTAAGAGCTTTGTTTAAAAGTCTGGATTTATAAAGAACCTCCAGAACAGGAAGCTCACAGCCCACGGTCCTCTTTGCAGAGCGGAGCACCTTGTTTAAAGCTCTCTTTTCTATTGCCTGTGATGTTTCCAAACCACACAGACACAGAACCAACAAGTAGACTCTCAATGGTGCAGCGATAAAAGTTAAGCAGAATCTTAGAGTTAGTGGTAAATTCTCTAAGTTTCAGCAAAAAGAAGAGCCACTGACGTACTTTCTTAACAACCCGGTTAGTATTTTTGTCCCATTTCAGGTCGTTAGACAGAGTTAAACCGCTTCAACACTTAAATCTGAAGTAAAAATATAATTTGTTACAAAGAACTGAGTACTCGTTTTGCTTTGATACAACCTTGTTTATTTACTTTAGAACAACTTAATATTTTCACTCAAATCAATGTGAAGTTTTCATTTCGAGAACACAGTCATTTCAAATTAGATTAAGCCATTTAATTACTTTGTTTCAAACATATATATTTGATTTGACTAAAACTACTAATTTTCATTCATACAAATTAAAATTATTACTTGTATTAAAGAGATGATCAACCTAATTGTTTTGCTTTAGCTTAAATTGATTTTTTTAATTTTGGAAAAACTAATATTTTCAGTTTTTATTTCAAAACTAGAATTTGTACTTTGAAAAAAACTATTCTAATTGCTGTAATTTTGTTACACGCAATTAGATTAGTTTGCTTCAAGTTGATTTTCTAACTCAGAACAAACTATCAGATTTGATTAGAACAAAGTCAATCATTTAGGTCAAGATCATTTTTTGTCAAACGCCAAAGTTTGATCACTTTCCTTAAATAAAAAGACAAACATCAACTTACAAAAAGGACTGATATTTATTGTGATGCTTGTTAAGTTTAGATCACAAACAGTACAAGCATGAACAAAATTGTCCTTTGAATTTCTTTTAAAACATGCTTACAAGTCAAATAAAATCAGGGACATTTTTTTTTTACCTGAGATGCAACATTTTACAAGCTTTGCTAGATTAACAAAATAACTGAATAAAGTGCTTAAAACAGGGATCACAATACCAACCAATGAAGCCGTAAAATATGTAAAACTTGGGATATGTGATATCTGTTAAACTGTTTAAACGTGTTACTATGTGAAAAAACATTTGGTTTAACACTAGGCAATATTACCATGACATATTTCAACAGTATACTATCCAGAAGCATTTGCTGACGTGCCTGTTAGCGTATTGTACTGGGTCGACCGCATGCTCTGCCGGCCAGTGGTTGATGGAGAAAGTCCCATGTTTGAGAGTTAAAAGGTGCCCTAGTCTTCTTTATTTCTATTGCTTCTTTGATCCAGGGTTGCATTTATTGGGTTCCTGATTGATTATTCTTTTGTTGTCCCAGTTAGATAATTATTGATCTGATATTGCCAATTAAGTTAGGACAACTTAATCGGCAATATCAGATCACGGCAACCGCAATAACCATCTCATGAACTGAGACAGCACAAGAATCAACAATCAGGAACCCACCGATCAGAGAAACAATAAAAATGAAGAAACAATTGAGACGAGGGCGCGTTCCAACTCTCCCAAACATTAGACTTCCTCCAGGGACCATTGGCCGACGCATTCAGCCCTGTACTCTATACAGGTTGGCTGGGAGGAGCAGTTGATAAGGCACATTATGTGACGTCACAAGACGAAGACTAAAGCATCTATCGGAACATTTCAGGTAGAAATATCGATAACTTAAGTGAGAAAATTGAATGGCGAGTAGTGCGATAAGTCGCCACTATTGAATAACCAAGACGAAACTGTTAGAATAAATCTTACAATCTATTTAAACTTTACATTGGTTCGTCGACCGCGGTCCCCGTTGGGGTGTGGCATACTACTGGGCCGACAGCGGCCCCTGTTGGGGTGTGGCATACTACTGGGCCGACAGCGGCCCTGTTGGGGTGTGGCATACTACTGGGCCGACAGTGGCCTCTGCTGGGGTGTGGAGTGCTGGACTGACAGCGCCTCCTGCTGGGGTGAGGAGTACTGGACTGACAGCGCCTCCTGCTGGGGTGTGGAGTGCTGGACTGACAGCGCCTCCTGCTGGGGTGAGGAGTGCTGGACTGACAGCGCCTCCTGCTGGAGTGTGGAGTACTGGACTAACTGTCTCCTGCTGGGGTGAGAAGTACTGGACTGAGAGCGCCTCCTGCTAGGGTGAGGAGTACTGGACTGACAGCGCCTCCTGCTGGGGTGTGGAGTACTGGACTGACAGCGCCCCCTGCTGGGGTGTGGAGTACTGGACTGACAGCACCTCCTGCTGGGGTGTGGAGTACTAGACTGACAGCACCCTCTGCCGGCCAGTGGTCCCTTGAGAGTCACATGTTTGAAAGAGTTAGAAGGCACCCTCGTCTCAATTCAGTTTCTGCGCCACGCTCCTTGATTTCTATTTCTTTTTTGATCAAGCATTTGTATTTATGTTATTCCTGATTGATGATTCTTGTGTTGTCCCAGTTAGATAGTTATTGATCTAATATTGATGATTAAGTTGTCCTGTCTAGATTAGTCTCAATTCAGTCTCTTTCTTGCAGAGACTAACTAGACATCTGCAATATCAGATAACTGCAAATGCAATAACCATCCCATGGACTGAGACAACACAAGATTCAACAATCAGGAACCCAACAAATAACGCTGGATCAGAGAAGCAATAGAATGAAGAAACAATTGAGACGAGGGCGCATTCCATCTTCCCCAAACATGGGACTTCCTCCAACGACCAATGGCCGGTGCAGTCAGCCCAGTCAAACACCCCAGCAGGAGGCGCAGTCAGCCCAGTACATTATACCCCAGCAGGAGGCGCTGTCAGTCCAGTCCTCCACACCCCAGTAGGAGACAGTCAGTCCAGTCCTCCACACCCCAGCAGGAGACAGTCAGTCCAGTCCTCCACACCCCAGCAGGAGACAGTCAGTCCAGTCCTCCACACCCCAGCAGGAGGCGCAGTCAGTCCAGTCCTCCACACCCCAGCAGGAGGCGCAGTCAGTCCAGTCCTTCATCCCCAGTAGGAGGCACAGTCAGTCCAGTCCTCCACACCCCAGTAGGAGACACAGTCATTCCAGTCCTCTACACCCCAGTAGGAGACACAGTCAGTCCAGTCCTCCATCCCCCAGCAGGATACTCAGTCAGTCCAGTCCTCCACACCCCAGTAGGAGACAGTCAGTCCAGTCCTCCACACCCCAGTAGGAGACAGTCAGTCCAGCCCTCCACATCCCCAGTAGGAGACAGTCAGTCCAGTCCTCCACACCCCAGTAGGAGACAGTCAGTCCAGTCCTCCACACCCCAGTAGGAGACAGTCAGTCCAGTCCTCCACACCCCAGTAGGAGACAGTCAGTCCAGTCCTCCATCCTCCAGCAGGAGACGCAGTCAGTCCAGTCCTCCATCCCCCAGCAAGAGACGCAGTAAGTCCAGTAAGATACCACACCCCAACAGGAGGCGTAGTCAGCCCAGCACTCCATACAGCTTGGCTGGGTTGACTATGCCTGGGAGGAGTAGTTTATTAGGCACGTCCTGTGATGTCACAAGACGCTCCTGAAGAAACTCAAGTATCAGTTGAAACATGTCAAGGTAATACTATCGCCAACTTAAGAAAATTGAACTAAAGGCTTAACTGTTGAGAATATGAAATACAATCAATTGAAATTGGAACTTAACATTGGATTGCAGTGTTTATCATTGAACAGTGGTCCTTAATTTCTTTCAAGCTCTATAAAAACAGAACAAATACAATCTTCTCAAATATGTCACAGCTTGACACTGAGGCTGAGCACTTTGCGCATCATTTTCTTTGGATCTATCTCCATAAACAACTTCTGTAGTGCTTCAAACATGTGTTTCAGCTCACCTGGATAGCTTAGGTTCAGCACATACATTAGACCAAACAGCATGGCACATGCATGTGCGACTGACGGCAACATGTTCAGGACTTTAACACCGTCTATGACAACACCAATCTCATGTGGTTGAAGAGAATCATCCTCTTCCCTGATGACGAACACTGCCATTGATGCACGAGAAAGTTCCATCTCCGCTTCTTCCCATTGGACAACCTGAGGAAATAAAATGTACTCTAATGTTCTGACAAGGAATGTACAGGGTGCCCAAAAACATTCAGTATTTTTTGGCTACCTCCTGCTAGTTTGAAGTGATATCCATTGTGGTTGAATATAAAATTATGTAAAAAATAACTGCTAAGCCAAAGTCCATTTAGGAAAGTGTGTTTAACTTAAAAGAGCAAGGAGTATGAACATTGTAAGTTATGTATATGTGTGTTTATAAATTGTAATAAACTGCTACTATAGCCACAGCTGGACACACTGCCAGAAGCAAGGCAACCACACTGTGCCATCAGCCCCACCCACAACCAACCATTCACACACACACACACCAGACTCATTCTAATGTGGGGGAAGTGTCTTGCCTAAGGACACAACCACCACAGTTTGGCACTATACAGCGACCCACTGTGGCAGCTGGCGTTCCCAGAGGTCTCCCATCACAGAACTAACCAAGCCCTACCCTGCTTATCTTAAAAAATATGTCAGGATCTGGCTTTCACCTGCAGGTTTGGCCATACAAAATACACATTTGCATTGATTCAGGGAAAAACTACTCACCAGATATTCCTTGAAGAGTTGGTCTAGGTCTTCTCCAAGGTAAATAGTGAGACATTTCAGCAGACACTCTCGCTTTATATTGGCATCAAGGCTCTAGACAAAAATTATGACTGTTAGGACTCCAAATTAATTGACATGTATCCCCCTCTCCTCTCCAAAAATGTTCTTATTTTAGTAATTATTCACTTAGTGGTGTGCTCCGCATTCCTACTGTAACTGGCGAGGCAACACTGGCAACACTTTGTCCCACAGTGGGGAAACCACTGTGGGACAAATAAAAGGATCTACATACCCGATCGAGAGCTTGAAGAAGCCTCTGGGTCTTCTCTCTGTTAACTCCTCCCTTCCTTCTAATGAGCTCTATCAGCTTGCTGTGGTGCCTGTCCAAAGAAGCAAGGAATCTTGTCTGAAGCGGAACAGTTGTACAATACAATACAATACAATACAATACAATTTATTCTTGTATAGCCCTAGGTCACAACAGAAGTCATCTCAGAGGACTAAACAAAACCATTGAAATCACCAACACAGGTCAGAGAATCAACAGCCAAAACACATGGAGAATATAAAGCACACACAGAAGAAAATTTCCATACATGTTGTAGAATGCTAAAGTGTCCTGATCATCACCAATCCTTTCTGTTGGACACTAACTGTCCAACAAGACCCTCCTGCATCGACAAGGAAAAACTCTTAAAAAACCCAGTGGGAAAAAGTGAGAAACCTTGGGGAGCACTAGGGAAACCCACAGGGAGGGAGACCCATATGAGAAAGGGATCCGCTCCTCCGGACCGACAGGCTAATGATCTAGGACCTAAGCTAGCTACAGGACGTGGACCAGTGGCCGCTGAACGTGGACAGGTCCGGTGCAGGACCGAAGCACTCCCAGGCGGGTCGGGCGGGGCAGTCCGCAGGTGCAGATGGAGGAGGCCAGGCTCAGAGATACCGTCATCGTACCATGAATGTAATCCTCAGAAATTCAGCATTGATCTAGAAAAACACAAGAATGATTACAAGAGAGCTAAGCAAGATTGTGATATCAGTTTTCAAAAAAACTCTGCATGAATAACATATCCTATGCTTTACATGTCACTTCTATAGTTCAACATACCTCATCCACTGTGAATAATGCAGGCCATCTTTCAATTCTTCCACTCCCAATTGCTTTTCCACTATTTCCTGTCTTTGTAGTGAAAACGTTTTGGCCATTTTAGCTTTTATTACTGCACGATTGTCTCTTTTCTTTACATCCTTTGCACTTCCACATTCATCAGAAAACTATGGGAGAAATATACAAAAAAAAAACTTAATTAGACATTTGCATATCATAAAAAAACTAATAAGTCAATGAGATGAATGTGCCTGCTTCTGACTACACAGTCTTGGAGCAATGGAGGACAGACGAACTCTCAGATTGTCTTCTACATGCAAACGTGCCCTGTATTTATTTTTCATTGCAGTCAAAGTGGAAAAAGAGGACTCACATAGGTACGTGGTTGGGAAGGGGAGCAATATTTGTAAAGATTTAGTTATCAGTTCTGGATAGTCTTGTTTGAGAGACAGCCAAAAGTTAGCAGTACTGACCTGTAGGAATCTGACAGTGTCCTGTCACATGATATTTCCAGCAGTTGCTCTTCTGCCTCACCTGTTAGGCTATTGGGTGATCCAGGTGCAAAGGGGTCGCGCACCCAGTCCCAGGCATCAGTGTTCACTTCAGAAAAGTACAAGCGGAAGTGCTGGCACAGTGACGTCAACATGAAGAAAGTCACTCAGTTGGAGAAACATGTCCGTTATTCCGTCTTGTATCCTTCGTGCCCAGAGGTCCGTTTTCTTCATGAAGGCTTGATGTATGCGCTCCTTGGATGGAGAGATTCAGGCCATTCAATGTATTAAAAATATCCGAAAGATAGGCCAATTTACATACACTCTATTAGTGAAAATCTCTGCAAGGTCAGTTTTTTGCTCTCTTAAAAACTCTCCCATTTCTTTGCGTAACTTAAAGACTCGCTGCAAAACTTTACCACAAGAGAGCCAGCGCACCTCCGAGTGATAAAGCAGCGCTTCATGCTCAGCATCCATGTCCCGGCAAAGTTGTCCAAACAAACGGGACTGTAGCGCACTTGACTTCACGAAGTTTACAGCAGAAACAGCAGTATTTAAAACAGAGTGGAGATCCGGGTCTCTTGCGTCTTTTGCTGCCAAGGCCTGTCGATGTAACATGCAGTGTGTCGCTATGATGTTTGGGTTGACAGACTTAATGCCCGCCCTGTCATAGCGGCTGCACCTTCCGTGCAAACAGCCACACACCTGTCCCAGCTCAGACGAGCATCTGTCAAGAAAGCATCTACAAGTCTGAATACCTCCTCGCCCGTTGTTCTCTTAAGCTCTTTACAAAACAAGAAATCCTCCACAATATCTTCCCATGGATATCGCACCAACACAATTAACTGAGCGGCATTAGATATATCCGTAGATTCGTCCAGCTGAATTGAAAACTGCTCACATGAATGCAGTCTGTCCAGTAGTTCTGCTTCGATGTCTTTCACCCATTAGATGAAGTTGACGGTGTTAAAAACGCATCCATGGCTAAGTAGCTAGGCAGAGCCTGCGCGCGTCAAAGCTCGTCACTGATAAGTGGACGTGATTTATGTGGATCTATTTTTTTTTCTTTTTTTATATTTCACAAAATAAATTGCAGATTAAATTTAGTGTAGGTTTGTGAATATGTACACGATTTAAAATAATATATCATTATATTATTATTATTATATATTAAAATAATATAAAATATATATTTTTCTTATTAATAACCAACCCTTTTCACGGACCCCCTGATATTGGGCCACGGACCCCTGGGGGTCCGAGGACCCCACTTTGAGAACCACTGCCTTAAAGGACACCTCTACTCCCAGCTCCAAAACAGCAAGCTATGGACGAATATATTTCTTCCGTTCTCAAGGCTGGGATCATTCGTCCGTCCTCGTCACAGGCCGATGCTGGGTTCTTCTTTGTTGGCAAGAAGGATAAAAGTCTCAGGCCATGTATCGACTACAGAGGACTGAACAATGTCACAATAAAGAACAGGTACCCCCTTCCTTTAATTTCCTCTGGTTTTGAGCTCTTTAAGGGGGCTAAGATCTTCAGATCTTAAATGCGTACCATTTAGTTAGAATCAGAGAGGGGGATGAATGGAAGACTGCTTTTAACACCCCTAGTGGCCATTATGAATATTTAGCGATGCATTTTGGTCTCACAAATGCCCCTGCTGTGTTTCAAGCTTTAGTTAATGACATTCTAAGGGACATGTTAAATAAGTTTTTGTTCGTCTATTTAGATGACATTTCTGTCCAAGAGACTCTCTCCTGCAGAGCGTAACTATGATGTTGGTGACCGAGAGCTTCTGGCAATAAAGGTGGCATTGGAGGAGTGGAGACATCTATTGGAAGGAACGGAACACCCATTCCTGGTTTGGTCTGACCATAAAAACTTCGAATACCTCAAGTCAGCTAGGAGACTGAATCCAAGACAAGCCAGGTGGGCTCTATTCTTTTCTCTATTTAACTTTTCCGTCTCGTACCGTCCAGGGTCTAAGAATCTGAAGCCTGACACATTATCAAGACTTTTTTCTCGTGGCGTTCCCCCGGACTCAAGCTCTTCTATTCTGCGAAATTCCTGCTTTGTCCGAGCTGTTTCCTGGAGCATCGTAAGCAGAGTCAGAGCAGCCTTGCAAGAAGTTGAGGTTCCTCGGAATGTACCCCCAATCTTCTTTTTGTTACTCCTGAATTCTGTTGGCTCATTCTTCGAATATCTCATGTCATCCTGGTGTGCGAAGGACTATGTTTAGAGCCAGAGAGCGTTTTTGGTGGCCCAGTATGAGGAGAGACAGCACAGTTTGTGGTGGCCTTTGATGTTTGCTGCCGCAACCAGTCCTCCACATCCCCAGACGCTGGGCTCCTGCACCCCTTGCCCGTACCACGTCGACCATGGTCCGACATCTCCTTGGACTTTGTCACAGGCTTACCTTGTTCTGATGGCAATACCACCGTACTTACAGTAGTTGAGCGGTTCTCTAAAATGGTAAGATTCATTCCATTACTAAAGCTTCCATCTGCTAAGGAGACTGCTGAGGTACTCTTAGCTCATGTCTGTCAAGTGTTTGGTTTTCCCAGGAACGTGCTGTCTGACCCAGGCCAGCAGTTTGTTGCACAATCCTGGAAAGCTTTCTGCCATCTGCTGGGAGCCACTGTGAGCCTGTCGTCTGGTCATCATCCCCAGACCAATGGGCAGACTGAGCGGGTGAACCAAGTACTGGAGACTGGGCTGCGCTGTCTTTCGTCCCAGAATCCCTCTTCTTGGAGTAAGGTGTTGGTATGGCTTGAATATGCTCACAATACCCTGCCCAATGCATCTACTGGCCTGTCACCCTTCCAGTGTGTGTTTGGCTATCAGCCTCCTCTTTTCTCAGCTCTGGAGCGTGAAGTTGATGTGCCCTCTGCTCAAGCTCTGATCCGTCGCTGCCGTCGGACCTGGATATGGGCTCCCCACGCTCTACTCAAGAGTTTAGACAACTATAAGAGGGCTGCAGATCGGCACAGAAGGGCAGCTCCAACCTATCGAATTTGACAGAGGGTTTGGTTGTCTACTAAGGACCTCTCTTTGCGTGTGGAGTCCCGCAAATTGGCCCCCCGCTTTGTTGGTCCGTTTCCTGTGTCCAAGGTGATCAATCCTGTTGCAGTGAGGTTAAAGCTCCTCCCGAACACCTTGCGTGTCCACCCCACCTTTCACGTCAGCCGAGTGAAGCCAGGGAAGGAGAGTTCTCTGATCCCTGCCTCCAGACCTCCCCCACCCCCCCGAGTCATTGATGGGGGACCTGTTTACACTGTGCGTAGAAGGGGTAGGAGTTGGCAAAATTTGGTGGACTGGCAAGGTAATGGTCCTGAAGAAAGATCTTGGGTCCCCGCTCGCCACATTCTGGATCCGGGTCGTATTAGGGATTTTCATCTCGGTCACACTCAGGTTCCTGGGCTCTTAAGAGGGAGGGTACCGTCATGTCCTGTTATGTCATGTTCTGTTCTGTGTTTTATTTTGAAATAACCCTTACTTGTTCTTGTCGCTAGATTCACTTCCTGTTGATTACTACCCCACCCCTGACACTGCATGAAAAGTGTGATTTTCGTCTCTTTTCGGCCCTGTATATTACTGTGAAACTTCTGGGATTCGGCTGTTGACGGTAGTTTGTTGTCCCCTCCTCCCTCCTCCACAGGAGGCTTTAACATGTAAATGGGAATGCTGTGAGCTATACAAATGCTAATCAGGGTTGAGGGGGAGCACAACTTTGCTCCATGCTGCAGAACTACTTTCAGTCAGTCTGCAGCATGGATCTGGTCAGCACACTGTAGACCCGGATTTTGTAAATGCTCAAACTGTTTACACACTCACACACACACACACATATCAGATAAATATTTGATCATCATTGATTATAGCTTGTCATGTCAAAATCAATTAAAAAAATCCAATAGGACAAAAGACATGTTGAAAGTGTAAGTGCTCATCAAAGGATATATGTATGTACAGTACAGACCAAAAGTTTGGATTTTTTATTTTTTTTCATGACTATGAACATTGTAGATTCACACTGAAGGCATCAAAACTGAATTATGTACATACCTAAAAGAAAAAGTATGAACCAACTGAAAATATGTGTTATATTCTCGGTTCAAAGTAGCACCATATATATATATATATATATATTTATTAGGGCTGTCAAACGATTAATTTTTTGTTGTTGATTAATCACATAGTAATGGTGAGTTAACTCACGATTAATCGCATGTTTAACATTCTATTTCAAATCCACTCCAATTGAAGTTAAATGAGATTATCAAATATAATGACCAGTGTTGGGTAAGTTACTTTGAAAAAGTAATTAGTTATAGTTACTAGTTACTTCTTCCAAAAAGTAATTGACGTACTAACTGAGTTACTCCACTATAAAAGTAACTAGATACCAGTAAAAGTAACTATTGCGTTACTTTTTTGTTTGTTGTGGTACCGAATTTTAGCTGGCTGTAATTTAGGATAACTTCAAAGTAGATTAATTGTTGCAACAACCCCACCCTATTTTAGTATGATATGTTAGTTTAGGGAACTGTCCTGCAGGCAAACAGGTATACGACAGGCCAAGGTGCCATTTAAATTAAATTGCATTTATTTTTATCCATTACATTACATTACAAAACTTGCAATTGAAAGAGACTATTTTAAAATAATTAGTTCCCAAAGACACACACGAGCAACACTGGCGCCTGACAGTCAAGAACCAGGGAAAATACAGTACGCAGATTGTACCTGACAGACAAGAACCAGGGAAAATACAGTGCGCAGAGCGCTGAGTATGTGAACGGAGCAATCGCTTGTTGCTGTTATTATAATAGCTAGATCCCTGCTTGCAGCCCGTGCAAAGCTTGCACTCACTCACAGCCGCTAACAACAACCAGAGCGGCCACGGAGGAGGCCATCTCACACGCAGCATTCTGAGTTATATTCTTATGGATAAATGGGCGGGTCATTCGGACATGCGTTAAAAAAAAATAACACGTTAATGAAAAATGTAATTAACGTGAGTTAACGCGATAATTTTGACAGCCCTAATATATATACATATATACACACAAACGGCTGTTGGTGTTATCATCACTCTTTACACAACCAAAACTTGGGGCTTCACAAACTGAATGCGCATGTCGCGCATGCG